GGAGGAATACATTTTCTATCTTATGAGGATGAAAGATAAAAATGATACATTTTTCCTCATTTATATTTGGTTGGATAAATGAAAAATAAAAATTATTAATTTTTTTTGTCTAATATTAGAGAACACAATCGAGTCGTTTTGTGTCAGATTTGTGTTGAGTCATAAAATTATGAGTTTTTTATATTTTTTGTTTGCGTGTCAGATCATTTTCAAGTTCGTGTCCAGTTATAATCAAGTTTGTGTCATAAAATTCGTGTCGAGCTCGAATCGTGTCATCATGCTGAGTCGAAAATTTTCACCTCTAGTTAAGATGAAAAAATATTTTTTTAATTTAAAATTTTTATTTTTTTTATATAAATACACATTTTATCATTGTATTTTTATATGAAATTAATGTATACATAATATATAGATAAATAAGATACATCTCAACACAAATAATTAATTTCTCATTCACTTTCCTTCCGATTTTAGAGGAATTGATTTTGATAAGTTGGAAAGAAAATTAATTCATCTACATTTTTATTTTTTCTATTTTTCTTTCTTACCAAACATAATATTTTATTTATTTTTCTAACTTTCTATTCTTCCATTTTTCATCATACTAAACGGAACATAGGGGTTATGTGTAAGTTTTTTAAGTACAAGGACGTAATATATAACTATACCAAACCATAAGGGGGTTTTCCATATTTTACCCTTTTTTTAATTATAAAATTACTTATAAGAATTATAAAAATATTTATCGAAGTAATAAATTTTAAAAATATATTATTTTTTTTTTTTTTTTTTGGTGTACCGTAGTCAAGTCGTTGTGTCGAGAATGGGTTCATTCCTATGTTGCCCAACTCGTCATGTGTCATCACGTTATCGACAAGATTCCTTCCATCCTTGTTTTTGCCCTTTCCTCTTCGTTTTTATCTTCCCTATTAAACATATCATTGGAGACGAGGATTGGGTCGACCATGGGCCCATTGTTGTGTGGCGCTACTCATCACGTGCCACTGCGTCACCGACAAGATTCCCACAGGATGTGGGGGCAAGCATGTCATTTCGTCCCATATAAGAATGACACGTGGACGAAAGATGCAGGCAAAGTCCCAAAAAGTCAAAACATGGTCGACGAAACCCCAGCGCATATTAGCACATCCGGCAATGGATGTGAGTTTGTGACAGACTGTCGGTGCCTAAATTGGGTGGAGCTGACGAGAAAAGCTTTTTGTCATATGTGGTTTTTAATTGACTTTTTTTCCCCTTTCTAATTGTATGGTATCGATAAAAGTAAAGTACCGAATATTACAATTTTTAAAGGTAGAATAATTGTTTTTTTAAAAAACAATTATAATTAATTGAGATAATTTATGATTAAAATCGTCATCAATCACTTACCTTACCTATCATGCTTTTGTCAGATTTAAACGTCAAATCACATCACTCATTTTTATCACATATTTAATTATTTATATATTTTTTCCTTAAAAATATCAAACTATTCACTTCTATCATATATTTAATTATTTAATATTTAATTAATTTATAGTTAAAATATTTTAAAAAAATTTAATATAGTGAGATCGATTTTTTCGACGCTTAAATTTTATATTTTATCGTACTTTCAGGAACGGGTTATAACTAATTATAAAATATTGTAATTGATTTGGAATAAATTGTACCTTCTCTTTAACGATTTATAATATTTATTTTATGACTCATAACTTGAGTTTTAAAAAAAAGTAAATTTCATAATTGATTATAATTTTTTGGGATTGATCATATTTTTTAATAGTTATAATTTAATTTTTAAAAATTATAAATTTAAATAGGATATCAACGTCTTTCCATCTTTTTCTAAGCACAATGGACTTATTATACCTTTGAGCTTTTTTTATTGTTGTTTTAGTTTGACGTGGACAATTTATATATTTCAAAATTTATTTGATTTTTTTATTACACATGAAATAAAGTAAGAGTAATTACATAAATCATATGAAATGCACATCAGTCCCATCCCTACGGCCACCCCCACTGTCTTGGAATAAAGTTGGAATAGTTATATAAGTCATATGAAAAGAATAAATTTAATACGATCAATGTACTCTTAAATAAATATGTAGTAAATACAAATTTAGAATTCCAAAGGATATCTTAGGTTGTAAAAGGGATGAATTTTAAATTCAGACGTTTTGAATTCAAATTTTGACAACTCGGGGATAAGTCATGAAAGATTTATTTCTCATGAATTTTTTAGTTTCGGCATGAATAGTTTGCCTTTGATTACACTGAAAAAGAGATTAATCAAAATATACATAAACTGGTTCGACACTCCTAATCTTTGAACCAAAAAATATATATATAATTTAGAAAATAAAGAATATGTATGAAAGAGAAACATGAAAAGGGGAGATGATGGAAAGGAAACTTGGAATAGTTAAGAATTTTAGGAATTATCATATTAATTAAGAATTAAGTTATTTAAAAAGGGCAATGACATAAAATCAAATTAAATTTGATAATTTTAAAAATAAAAAATTCAAAAAAAATTTGGTTATACTTATGACAAATATGCAAATATTACTAGGTGGCCTAATGGTTATTGTCCCTGATATTGGAGTAAATATTCAATATAACAGTTACATTACGTTAATATTGTCACGTGGTATAATCGTGCAATGTTAAATAAACAAGTAGACAAAGTGATCTAACTTTTTTTTTTAACACACGAAAACAACTAACTTACATGGAGAGATAATTATTTGAGTGGGTGAGATTCATTTTTTCTATGGAAAACGTTATTATTGAACTGTTACACTATATAACAATATTGACATGATATAAATATTACATTCAATATTTATTATGTTAATTATACTATAACGCTGTGAATTCGAATCTCGACATATTCTTATGCATAACCAAAAAAAAAATGATAGGGAATGAACACGAGTTGTGTCTTGTCAAATTTTATTTTGAGTGCTTTCTTTTATTGGTTCTTATTGTACTTATGTCATGGTAATATCATTTTTCTTGTAACTCGTAAATTAGGTAGTATTAGTATTTTATTTTGAGAAAATTTCAGCCACACCTTTCTAATTTACTATATTTTAAAGACACATATTCTATTTTTTGAATCTTCATTGACACCCCCATCAAATTAAAGGTATTAATTATAATGTAATTTTATTAAATTGCCCGTGATGTATATTAGAAAAAACTTCATCCACACCTTCTCTATATTCTATTTTTTTTACTTATTAAAATTCGAGTCGATTAACATTCAATTAAAGCTAATTAAAATTTGAGTGAATTAAAAATTATATTTTTTTACTTATTAAAATTTGAGTCGATTAAAATTTGATTCGTGGCTCAAATTAAATTTTAATTAACTCACATTAAATTTTAATTTGCCCAATTGTTGATACATAAAAAAAATTAATTGTCTCAAATTTTAATACATAAAAAATAAATTTTAATCAATTTAAATCAAATTTTAATAAATAAGAAAATATAAATTTTAATCAAGGCTAACAGCTCAAGTAGAGCTCAAATTTTAAAATGCAAAAAAAAGACTTTTAATATGCTCAAATTTTAATATGTAAAAAAAAAATTTAATCAGTTTAAATTGAATTTTAATCGATTCAATTTTTAAATACAAAAAATTTTAATCAGCTCAAATATTAATTGACTAAAATTTTATATATAAAGATTATTTGAGGTTTATGCAGAACAATTTTGGTATTTGAGATAATTTATTTTTGTTATAAATTGTGGTTTAATGGCAGGGTATCAGTGATGTTTAAATATAAATTAAAGAAAGTGTTAGTGATGTTTTTTAATAATAGAAGGAGTGTCCCTGAAATTATAATAAACTAAAAAGGGTGTGGCTAAAATTTTTCCTTTTATTTTTCTCAAAATATTCATTGTATGAGCCCCCCACAAAATATAAAATTAATTACACGTACTATTAAAATCAAATAAAAAATTATTTAATTCCACTACAAGTCGTTAAAATTCGAAAAACATAATATATTTTCCTCTGATAATACTAGTTAAATAAAAATTTTCGTATGAAAATTGAGTTATTTATATTTTATACCAATTCAATTCAATTGTTATTCTTGTTAATTAATGGTAAGTTATTTGTAAGTGTGTCATTTTATCTCGTAATCATTTTATAATAGTATCAAAATTTTATTTTTATTATTTTTTTTACTTGCGGAAATAATTATTTTTTAATACTATACTATTTTGTACAACCACATAATGATACTAATTATTATTTATTATTTTTATTGTCATTGGCTTTGAAAAATCAAAATTAAAATAAACACTCAAAAACTATTATATAAGATAGTAACAAAAAAGAGTTAACTAATTATTTTGAAATTGAACTATACTGTATATATCAATCAAATCTCTTAATTATGTTTTGTATTAATATAGTACCTAAATTATGCAATCTCACTCAATGTAATCCTTCCATTTAAATTTGTAATTAATTTTAACGGAAACTCTCACGTGCACATCACGTGAGTTAGATATTATGTTATAGTTTAAGGGTTACGTGACGTGCACATGAGAGTTAACGGTGAATTTGAACGAAAGGGCTGTATTAAGTCAAATTACATTATTTAGGGATTAATTGATAGTATAAAATATAATTTTGGGATTTATTGACACAAATAATTAAGGACTAAATAAGTAGTTAACTAAAAAAAAAAAATTGGGGCTTATCCTCAAAATAAATACAAATTACCAGGGAGAGAGAGAAAGAGAGACTAATGAAGTTTAGCACATGAGTTTTGTTGGGGAGTGGTACCTGGAATCTTGCAAAATCAAAAACCATGGAAATAGCTTTTTCGGTAAATCTTTCCCTTTCAAAACCAACATTTTTAGGACTTTTCTCCGTCATTTCATTCTCCCTGTATATATCTGCCACCGTCTGGTCGGTAAAGGACCTTCGTGGATGAAGTGTGTTCTTTGTCTCTGTGTAGACTGTTTCATCTCTCTCTCTCTCTCTCTCTCTCTCTCTCTCTCTCTCTCTGTGCTTATTTAACGCACCTCTTTTGCTGTCAAAACTTTTCACAAACACCTCATTCTTAAGTTTTTGGTTATTGTAAAAAGTGAGAAACTGAAGACGTTTGGGTTCCAAGTCTGTTGCTTTTCTGAGGAACCAGATCAGAGTGAAGCTCTTAGAGAAAAATTTACTGAAATTTCGACGGTTGGTCATGATCCAAGAGTGTTTTAGAGGATGGAAATTCAGCTTAGTTATTGCCATGTCAGTCTCTCTACTGTGTTTGTCTAATAAGTTCAATAGTTCCTGCTGAAGATAATATTGCTTTCAAGGTACCTTCTATCCTCTTTGTCTTATTTTCTTGTGTTTGGTTGATTAGAAAATTGGAAGGAAGGAGAAGGAAAATTTTAATCTTTACGTTCCATTTTTGATTTGGGTATTCTCCAGAAAAAAAGAAAAACTCACTCAATTAGAACTTCCATTTCTCTACTTCTCCTACTTTTTCTTTACAATCAAACAGTCATATTTCTTAGTATTGTTCTAGGTTCGTCCCAATTTTATGCGATTTTCAGGCTAAATCATTTGCTATCTTGTTACAATTACAGCATTTGCCGTGAAACGAGAAGCAGAAGAGGAATTATATGTGTGGAAGGTTTGGTTTTGAAATGATTACTGTAATGAACTCATTGAGAAAACCCATGAAAGAAGTGGAGAAAAGCTTGGACTCCCAACTATGGCACGCCTGTGCCGGTGGGATGGTCCAAATGCCGCCGGTAAACTCTAAAGTGTTTTACTTCCCTCAGGGCCACATTGAACACGCCCATAGGAGTGTAGATTTTGGGAATTTTTCAAGAATTCCACCACTCATTCTGTGTAAAGTATCATCAATTAAATATTTAGCTGATACTGAGACTGATGAGGTTTATGCGAAAATTAGATTGGTACCACTGAGGAACAATGATTGTGATTTAGATGATGATAGTTTCTTGGGTTTTGATGAGAATAAGAATGGAGAGAAACCCAATTCATTTGCGAAGACATTGACACAGTCTGATGCTAATAATGGTGGGGGTTTCTCTGTTCCGAGGTACTGTGCTGAGACTATGTTTCCAAGGTTGGATTATTCGGTTGAACCGCCTGTTCAGACCATTGTTGCAAAGGAAGTTCATGGTGAGATTTGGAAATTTAGGCATATTTATAGAGGGACACCACGGAGGCATTTGTTGACGACCGGGTGGAGCAATTTTGTGAACAAGAAGAAGCTTGTTGCCGGGGATTCGGTTGTGTTTTTGAGAGCACAAAATGGGGAACTTTGTGTTGGGACTAGGAGGTTGAAGAAGGGGATTTTTGGGGAGAATTGTGGCTCTTTATATGGGGAATTTTCCAGGTTCTTGAGGGAAGATGAGAACAAGTTTACGTTACCATTTGGGAACTGTAATGATAGTTTCAGGGGAAGGGGAAAAGTGAGGGTTGAATCTGTTATTGAAGCTGCAACTCTTGCTGCCAATGGGCAGCCCTTTGAGGTTGTTTACTATCCACGCACAAGCTCTCCCGAGTTTTGCGTGAAGGCCTCGTCTGTGAGGGGTGCAATGAGAGTGCAATGGTGTCGTGGGATGAGGTTTAAGATGCCTTTTGAAACAGAAGATGCGTCTAGGATAAGCTGGTTCATGGGGACTATATCTTCTGCTCAAGTTGATGATCCCATCCATTGGCCAAATTCTCCATGGCGGCTTCTACAGGTAACTTAAATCCTAATTTGCATCTTGTTCCTGCAACCTAGAACAGATTTAAAATGAAAGTAAGTCTTATCTTGGTTTGACTGCTTCCTTCTTGTGTGCCATTGCCACTTTTTATTTAGAACTCAGTCATTACAAACTTGTCAAAAAACAAAGTCTTATCCTGGTTTGCTTGCCAATTTTTATCTAAAACTTCGTGCCTTTATAAACCTTTCAAAAGAAAAGTTGAGAATTTTATGTTCAGTTTTTCCTTCTTTGATGTGTTTCGGCTGAGAATATGCGATTAAAATTTGCTGTAGATGTCAGAGATTCCTGGTCTTTGATTGATTTAGAATATTTCTCTTTGAGAAGAGGACCTTCTCTATGATTAGAATGGATTCAAACAAATCATGTCTAATTTTCCGAGGAAATGCTGAGCTGAGGCATGTGTTGTGATGCCAAACACAGAAACTAAGAATGCATCAATGTGCCAAAGTTATTAGAATCACTTCCTTTGACTCTTTTGAGTTTTAACACCTCTTGAACTAAAAATCATTTGCAGGTAGCTTGGGATGAGCCAGATTTACTTCAAAATGTGAAGCGAGTCAGCCCGTGGTTGGTGGAATTAGTATCAAACATGCCTGCCATCCATCATCTCTCCCCCTTTTCACCACCAAGAAAAAAGTCAAGGCATTCACAACCTCCAAATTCCCCCCTTGTTGAGCAACATCCGTTATTACTATCACTGCACAGCAATCCCATCAGGCCCAACAGCCCTTTTTGTTATATATCGGGCGACATCTCTGCAGGCATTCAGGGAGCCAGGCATACTCAATTTGGACTATCCTCATTAGATCACTTGAACAAACTAAAAGCGGGGCTGCTTCCATTTGGGTTCCAGCCGATTGACCACACTGCCCCTCCTAGAACCCCCACTGATAGCTTCATGGACAATCCTGAAGACGATGTGAATATATCTTGCTTGCTGAAAATGGGACATTTGCCCCAGAATTCAAAGAAAAATATTGAAACAAAAACGCCTAGGTTCTTCTTGTTTGGTCAACCCATTCTTATTGAGCAGCATCTCTCTCAGAGCTGCTCTGGAGATACTATTGGAAACAGTTTGTCAGATGGGAATTTCGAGAAAACAGCAAGTCTATCTGAGGGTTCAGGATCAGCGGTCGTTCAGAATGGTCTATCGGACTGCTCTTTGGATGAAGGATTTACCAGTTAAACACACGGGAGATAAACCCTTCAGGTAATATCGTGTATATCTCAACTTGTAATATATGTTGTGCAACCATCTCTTCTACATACCTTGGATTTTAATAGGTTTTGTTTTGTCATAATCATTGCAGTGAATTTTTTAAGACAGCGAGAAGGTTAACAATTGTAATGGATTCAGGAGTGACAACATAGGGAGGTACAGAAGTTATCCTTTGTTTACAATTCTTCTTCATTCTTTGGAGTTGGAGCAGAAGTCCCCTTCAACCACCAATTGTAGCACGGCTTAAATTTGTCGTTCAAGATAACATTCTTCGAATGTTAGCGTTCATGCATGTCGTATTCCATTTACATTCTGTTTCCTGACATTTCCAAGGAATATGAACATCAAAATTTTCTTCCATTATGTTACTGTGCTGTAGCCTTCCATTTGGAGGGGCCATTAAGGACATCTCTGATGATTGAAAACTTTGCAATTGAGATGAAATCTAAATCAGGGACGAGTTTTTCTCATTGTTTGTTTAGTTTGCATTATTAACAAACATCGGGTTTATAAAAGCACAAACTGTGGAGGAAATGTTCTTCAAGAAGTTGCAGAGGAAAGGTTCTTCTTCATGTAATGCATAAGTTCAATGTGGAATGTTGTTTTTAGCCACAACTGATACGGAATTGTCTCCCACTGCTTAGCCTTGTGCCAAAAGCAAAACCCATCATGCCATGCTTATCCCAAGTCTAAGATGCATTTGGAAAGATTTTTTCACTCATGCTCTAGCCAACACAAGGTCATTTACCCTCCGATTGACCAAATTTTGCATGGTTTGGCTGAAGCAAAGGGTCTAGGTACTGACCCAAAAAAAACCAAAAAAAAGGACTAGGTAAGGTTTTTGACTATAGCAAAGCTAGGAAACGTAAGTAGTAAACAACTTTATCTCAATTTTAGAAAAGGTTTTAGAGAATAGCAAAGCTAGGAGATGTAAATAGTAAACAATTTTATCGTTATTTTAGAAAAGTTTGATTTTTAAACTCAAACATGCATTGTGTCACTAAAACAAATAAACACTCGTCATCATTTCAGATCCGATCTCTTATCATTATTCTAGATCCCACCTCTTGTATGGATAAAGTATCACTGTCACATTACCAACTGAAATGATTCCATCCCACTTGCCGTTACTTCACTTTGCAGGGTATTAAATATATCAAGAATTAGAGTGAAGCTAGATGAACAAACATAGCATGTTATTTTTGAGCTAATTTCAAAAGTGACAACTGGAGTTTAAGAGTTTGTACTGGCACAATGAATGAAAGTAATTAATGTACACATTATCAAAAATGTATGAGAAAATGTACAGATTGGCATTCATGCATAGACGATGAGTATTGTTAACCATAAGGGTAAATTTTATAATTAGCCCCCCAATTTTGACTTCGGTTTTGATTTGGTCCCTAAACTTTCAATTATCCCAATTTAATCCCTCAACTATTAATTTTGTCTATTTTCATTGTTAGATATATGATCTAACGGTGAAAATTGATCAGATCAAACTCTAGTCTCTGTTTGATCTAATGGTAAAAATAAATAGAATGACTTAATTGAAATGAAATTTATAATTGAGAAATTAAATTACGATAATTAAAAGTTTAATGACCAAATTGAGATCGAAAGTAAAGTTTAGGAATCAATTATGATTTTTATCCTAACCATAATGAGTATTACTTGAATCGACCGAGGAGGACTAAATATTGTAAAGAATCCAAGTTTGAATGATACATGGTCCATGTGATTGGGATCACCAATATTAGCACGATAACTTGCATTTCATTTGACTTTCTTGTGAAATGATATTAGACTTTATTATTTTTTTTCACCCACAACAAATTTATCTAATCCCAAGTGCAGTTGTTTAAAATTTCCAAATCCCAAGTACTGTTTTTTCAACTCTCTAACCAAAGGAACCTAATATAGTGCCGCAAGTGCTGGTGAAAAATTGGGTCAGTCATTGGGATTCGAACCTGAATAATGAATTAGCCTTAAACAGAAGGATTAGGCTGGCAAGTTTACGAGGATGTCGATTGGGTCAAACAGGCAGGACTTAGAAATTTCCTCTCCCCACGCGGCACATTGGGGAGTGTTCTTCTGGGATTTGCCATTCAACAAACAAAGATTATGAGAGAGAGACAGTTGCCCTCATTGGTAATTTATGTTTTTTGTTTGGAAGTTAAATAATGATTTGTTGTTGGTTAAATCAAAAAAAATATTAGTTGAAACATTTGTAAGTTGTTCCGATTTGAATAATACTATACATTCCAAATTTGGATCTCAAATCCGTAAGAATGGTTGCGAGACTCACTNATATTAGTTGAAACATTTGTAAGTTGTTCCGATTTGAATAATACTATACATTCCAAATTTGGATCTCAAATCCGTAAGAATGGTTGCGAGACTCACTTATTCAACCATCCTTATTGATTTGAGATGAAAATTTGGGAAACAAAGCATTTTCAGGTATAGACACTCTTGACGGATATGTTTTATACAATTTTTTTTTAAAACAAAAAATATAGGTGGGATCTTTTTCTAACATTCATAAATTTTCATAGCCTCCTCGACTCCTCCACCTCCTCCTCCCATTTTCAATGACATAAATTTTTAGGAAAGAATTTTGGATATGGTAAGTTAGAGAAAGGCTCAAAATTTATGATTTTAAATTTTTAGTTTTTAAATTGAGTGCTAGAGTGACTATGAACATGCTACATATTTTTGATCATACAAAACAAAGCATAAGTCTCGTACAAAACAAAGCATGGCATGCCATGTTTCATCAAGATAGATCGAAAGGTTTAGTTATTGATAGACAAATTTTGTTGAAATATCAAGATTTTTTTTTGTTCAACAGTCAGGAGTGTTCAGATTAATTTACACACACCTCTTTTTTTTTATCCAATCAAAAAAGGTCAGGACTAATATATTAAGATGTCCCTCAAACCAGAGTTTGTAAAGGTCTAAATGGCTCTGGCATTGCTGTGCTCTAGAGTTTTGGACATTAACAAAAGTACAAAGCCAGACAGCAAAGATGAAACATTGGTTGCGAGCCCATTTTACACAAGGGGGAGAATATTATAATCACCCTTTTATGGAACAAGCTCTTAGGTAATTTGGTCCAAATAAGACATGAACTCAAGACAATACAAACTCAAAAATAATATGATCAATTAATATGATAATAAATGACCCGNAAAGCATGGCATGCCATGTTTCATCAAGATAGATCGAAAGGTTTAGTTATTGATAGAAAAATTTTGTTGAAATATCAAGATTTTTTTTTGTTCAACAGTCAGGAGTGTTCAGATTAATTTACACACACCTCTTTTTTTTTATCCAATCAAAAAAGGTCAGGACTAATATATTAAGATGTCCCTCAAACCAGAGTTTGTAAAGGTCTAAATGGCTCTGGCATTGCTGTGCTCTAGAGTTTTGGACATTAACAAAAGTACAAAGCCAGACAGCAAAGATGAAACATTGGTTGCGAGCCCATTTTACACAAGGGGGAGAATATTATAATCACCCTTTTATGGAACAAGCTCTTAGGTAATTTGGTCCAAATAAGACATGAACTCAAGACAATACAAACTCAAAAATAATATGATCAATTAATATGATAATAAATGACCCGAGTTAGTATTAGACAAAAATAATCTACTTACCTGGTATTGTAACAAAAAAAAAAATCAATTACATTTTCTATTCATCTTTTCTCTACTAGTCCATGAATTATTTTATAATTAAATAATTTTCCAAAATTCTGAGTTTTGATTCGAAAATGATACAAAGGAAAAATAACATGTCCTACAATTATCAAAAATGATATGATATAAAAACTATACATCACGACTCGATTGANCTACTTACCTGGTATTGTAACAAAAAAAAAAATCAATTACATTTTCTATTCATCTTTTCTCTACTAGTCCATGAATTATTTTATAATTAAATAATTTTCCAAAATTCTGAGTTTTGATTCGAAAATGATACAAAGGAAAAATAACATGTCCTACATTTATCAAAAATGATATGATATAAAAACTATACATCACGACTCGATTGAGACGCCCTATTTGTTCTTATCTTAAAACCAAACTTTGAGGTAGCAGTAGCAAATGAATTAACCCATCACATTAAATTATATTTATTTTCTATAAGAAGCTGACTTTTGTTACAACCTAGATCCATGTTTATTGTTTTTAGTGACCAAGATCCCAGAATTCCAGAGAAATGTTTTATAGAAAAAGAGTCAACTCATGTTTCCGTTGTAGAAGTTTCCAACGTGTTTACCTTTTTTTTTTTTCTTTATGCTGTTTCGTCTTCCAAGGATTGCATGGGAACAGAAACTAAGGACATGGATCAATGGGAAAGCTAGTTGTGTTCTTCACTTTAGGTCAACACACAGTTCAGCAATGAACTTTGTGTCTTGCAAGATGGCATCCGAAGTCTTTGACTCCAAAATATAGAGAGAATAAGAAGAGGGAGAAGGAGGGAAAGTGATTATAAAATGATGGTTATTTACTTGTTGTACAATCTGAGTCGGGTAATCCCACAGATAACTTAACTGGTAATAAAGACGAATTATAATTTTATACGTCTTAATTTTGAATATTGGGAATCCTTTGAGATGAGACCATAAAAAATTTATTTTTCATGAATATTCTAGTTCCAGTATGAATAACCCCTGCGAGAGGCGGTCCAAGACTATTTGAGGCCTAAATCGACTACTACAAATGAGGTTTGATAATGATGGGATTTTAGGTATGAGTCGCCCTAATCAAGAGCCCAATAGGTCCAGAAGGCCTCTACTTGCAGAGTGGCCCAAACCAACCTGTCCACTCCAAGATTAGAATGGATTGCGCTCAAAGGTTAAAACCCAACAATACCTGAAGGCTTGAAGTCCAGTCCAGCCCCAATCCAGCCCAACAAAGAGGTTAGCTCAGGATCAAGGAGCTCAACCCCCTTGTCGATCCTGAACCACTCTCGTCTCGCCATGTGTTTAGAGTGCAGAGGGACCACTTCTGACATTCATAACAAATACACACTCTTAACCACAGAGAATATTGGTGCGCGTAACTGCTCAAGGACTGTGGATGCAGTAACGTCATATAGCAGAGGCCACTACATGACAAAAGTAGAAGGGCTCATAGAATCAGCAAAAAAGGAGAAAGGAGCCTCAAGAAACCCTAGAATGATTATCTGTATAATTAGGACACTATTACCCTACGAAACAGGGACGATCATCATCTTCCTCAGTGTCTACTTAGCTAACTTCATAAATAAGCTTATACTCTCTAAGCATTTTCTTGAAAAAGACTTTAAGCCAAACAAACTGTTGTAACCATCTTCTTCAAGCAATATACACACCCCCCAAGGAGCACGAAACTCTATCACAGTGGACAGAGTCTTGATCTTTTAACTAAGGTGAACCACTTACGTAATGTCTTGGTTTTTCTCTCACAACTTTATCCATTTCCAGTCCATATACTTGATCTATCCCCTCTCTGGACTATCTAACTATGGTTCCGA